GTTTTACAACTTCAAATTGGCGGATCCAGGGATGTAAGAAAAATATTGAACACTGTGAGATACTCGCTGCAATAACCAGGCACCAGCCAGCCTGAGAGTGAAATTAAATAAATATACCCAAGGAACATAAATGGAAAGAAAATCATCTAACTTCTAACAACTGCTCTATGTTAGTTATCTGTCTGTTATTGAACCTTTACTCAAGTGAACACTGATCACTTTTCCTGCAAGAACCCTCCAGGATACGCGCAGGACAACTCGCATGAATAAAGATTACTCCCGGAAGAAAAAAGCAAGCTGCTGTATTTTTCATATAGATAACATAAACAAGTGCCTTAAAAATAATAATTGATTTGATCCTCAATTTTTCCACATCAGCTGCTGGAAGAGAAAGATTGGTTCTGGAAAGTTTTTCTTGGCAGCACCTTGTAAGGATGCTCACCGCTGCCCAGCGGGGTTAAAGGCACCGCTCACCCTTGTGTCCTGTGGCCATCAGCAGCCAGTTGCTTCCAGCAGACTCTCCCTTTGTCCATCACCTATGCAGGACAGGAGAGGAAGAAAATAGCTGCTAGATTTAATCAATTTACCCTGCGTTTCCCCCCCTCTTTCTATTCTTTGTACATCGAGGGTCTACAGTCTCAACATCTTCTGGGAATAAGGGCTGTGTTTTACTAACAGAAGAGCCACTTAGGAGTTCACAATAAAGCAAAGGTTTGCAGAGAAAACCTTGCAGTTGTCCCTGGCGCTTCCCCTCACGTTCACCCTCCATTTGTTCACCCTCCATTCGGACTCAGCAGCCCAGAATCACTTTTCATATTTCAAAGCAGTGGCCGAGCTTTTCCACCCGTTTTTAAAAAGGTATGTGTTTTCTTTTTTTTGCGATGGGTGGGGAGGCACAACATTGCAGACAACCTCGGGATCAGCAAAAAAAAAGAGAAACAATTCAATATTTACACACACCCTTCTACTCCTACAGCAAGCTCACTTGTCCTGATTAAAAAGGGGCAATTAAAGCATAAAGAACCGCCATATGGGAGCAGACCAAAAGTTCTTTAGCTCAGGATCCTGTCTCAGACTGCCAGTAAAGACAGAGTCAGAGGGTATAAGCCCAGGCAGCAGTGGAGCAATCTCTGCCCCAGCTCATCCTCCCAGTCTCCGAGACTCTGGGCTCCCCGAGCCGGATGCTGCCTCCATACACCGCTGCAGTGCAGAGACGTCCTCAGTCCTCCCTCAATTTCTCTTCCTGAAATAATCTCTGCTTCTGATCCCTACAAAATCCTGTGGCAATCTGATCCATCACCAAACGAGAAGCTGAGAAAGCCCTTCCTCGTGCTCTCAACACTCTGCCTGAGAAGCGGGGGCTGAAGCCAGCACAGATGCTCCGCTTGACCCAGCCTGAGCAAAGAAACTCACCTCCTCCTGGCCACCCCGGCAGGGTTTCTGCTTCCTTGGGAAGGAACAGCAGTGCCAAAGGGTCATGATGCCCACCGAGACACAAGTAGTTGTAGGGAGCCACAGGCAGCCTTCACCCCAGCTTTAACAGCAAACCAGCCCTGAGAGCCCGATGTAATCTGCCAGCCTAGGAGAGAAGCGTGGCCCCCAAACTGCCATCGCTTTTATACTGAAGAGAAATTAAAGGCCAGTAATAATTCGAAATGCAGAACTCATGGATGTACTGGACCAAAGCGGAGTTTATTCATTCCTCACAAAAGAAATCCAAGCATAACAAATTTTCTTTTACGGCTCGTGCTTTCTCCGCATCATTTTATGAGCCATCAACAGCAAGACTCAAACAAACACACCAAAAAAAGCAGAGGTCAAAAATGGCATCTTCATTAAAAAAAAAAAAAACAAACCAAAACTAAAAACCTAATAGCTTACCAGCTCTGGATTTGGAGAATTAACTCTGCTCAGAGCCAAGAGCTCTGGGAGCGCATACGCCACCAGACTGGTTTCTGCTACCCCTAAAGGGCAAGGGAGCAATAGGAGCTGACTCCTGGCAAGCTGAGGGGGTCCCTTCTGTTGATCTGGGACCCACATTTTCATCCCAGTTTTAGCCAGAGTCAGCAAAAGTCCTTCTACCAACGCAAGAGTTGGTTGTACCTTAACAGGTGGTTTTGCAATGCAGAGGAACTTGGATTGCAAAGCCTTCCTGGCCAAGCGGCAGAGGCAGGGAGGTTTGCTGGGATTTCCATCAGATTTTAAGGTATGGCTTTCAGAGCTACAAGTTGAACTAAAGTCAGTAAGAGTGACAGCTTCGCAGCACCACTGAAAAATCAGCTCCTTGATACGCCGACAGTTCTCCCTGTAAATATTACAATCACAGCTACTCCCAGGGATGTTGCTTTTTTCTTTTTAATAACAGAAACGTTTTCTCCTGAACCGCTTTCAAATGAACTAGTGGTGAAAACAGTTCCTTCTATCTCTAATGTCCAAATAAAACCTTTTGTCATTTCTGTGTCAAACTTCTTCCCTTAATTTTGGGTTACAGAAATAGCACCAATAATTTAGCTTTTCATTTCAGTTTGGGACAGAAACCAGTAACAAATTAGCTGAGTGACTTTCAGGTTGGAAGAGCATTTTTGGTATTCTTGAAACATTCCACAATTTCTCTGAACGGCTTTTACCTTCTCTCCCTTAGTAACACGGAGAATAACCGAGCCCTGTGTTAGCTTTTCCACTGAACCAGCTCTCATTTTTCATCGAGAAAAGCTCATACCTCTGTTGCACTGCCTTAGCTCCAGCACAGTCCTTTTCCTGCGTGGATTAGAAAACACTTCACAAAACACTTGCAATAGGTGGGGAAACTGAGGCACAGAGATTCATGGGATCTGCCAAATGCATCACTGAAATACCCAGAAAGCCCAGATGACAGCTCTGCCCAATAAACCAGGGAGAACAGGGAGAATTTATCCCCGGTATTTTTTATTTTATTTTTTTTGCTTACATTAGAATACTTTTAAAACTTTCTAATTCACTGCAACGGCATTAAAACTTTTACAACATTCAGAGAACGTCTAATTTATTTGAAGCTGTAGTTTGGTCCCTGCTTGGCAATGCTGGCAGGGAAACACACCCTTGGACTGAGATTTTTTTGCTCCGTTTTATGCCCTAAGAGCAGGGTGGGTATTGGGGAAACACAGCCCCCTCTTTTCCAGGCTGACCGAGCCAACTGCAGAGAGCGCAGCAGTTGGCAAGGGGCAGGATCAGGAATAAACCAGGTCCAAATAAAATATGATAAACGAAACCGGGGGGGTGGAAATAGAAGGAAAAAAAGCTATCTACGCAACTTGTTGGTTAGTATCTTGGGGACTCGCTGGCCGCAGTGTCGCAGCACAGGGACGAGCAGCAATCACTGCCTCCCCCGCTAAAATATAAACCTTTAGGGCCAGAAATTGCATTTTTCCTGGTCCTGGGAGGGAAATTTTTTTTAAGTGATGTCCCAGCGGCGGTCAGTTTATCAGCCGCTCCCCGGTGCGGCTCTCTGGGAGGGAAGGGACCGCTCCGGCAGCCCCGCACCGCCCGCTTCCTTCCGACCGCGCTCCCGCAACGAACCCGCCCCGGGATGATGCTTCCCCGCACGGAGGAAAAGCCTCGCCGGGGTTAAACTGGGGGATCCCACGGGCGGCGGTGCAAGGAACGGCTACTTTTTGGGATGCTCTCCTCTTCCCCAGCCCGATTTCTCTCCGGGATACCCAAAAAGCCACGTCGGACCCGCGGGGAAAAGAGGGGTCGGAGGCGGCTCCCGGCGGGACCAAAAAAAAAAAAAGAAAAAACCAAAACCCCAAACGAAAAGCGAACGAGAATTGCAATTGCAATTTTCGTTGGCTTTTGGGGTTGTTTTTGGGGGTTTCTTTTTTGGCCTTTCGCCGGCAACCGCAGGGCAGCCCCCCGGCCCGGGTAGGGGGGCACCCCGGGAAGCGAGCCCGTGTCCCTGCCCACCCCACGGGAGACACGGCGGGGGCGGCCGCAGCCAGCGCTTACCCACAACGAAAATCGCGGTCAGTCTCCGCTGCCGGGTGGGTTTTGGTTTTTTTTTTTTGTAGGGTTTTTTTTTTTTAATTTTTTTTTTAACAGAAAGTGGAGAGCAAGGGGAGCGGGAGGGGGTTTGCTGGTCCTGCGCACCCACCTCAGCCCGCCCGCCCTACCTGACTGCTGCTCTTAGAAAATAACAAGCGTCGCTTGGAAAATGCCGCGCAAACCGGCGCCCCATCCCCGCTGCCTCCAGCCGCCGGGCTGTTGTTTTACAGCTATTTGCCTTCCCAAGAGAGGACCCGTTAGAACGGGCGGTTCAGGGATAAGGCTGCGCCCTGCCCTGGTGAGACCGGGTCCGGTTAACGCTCGGAGCTCGGAGAAGAGGGGAACCGGCGGCTCCGCTTTGCGGCGACCACGCACTCTCGGGCTGTTTGCGACCCGCGATGCTCCGACCAGACGGTCGGATAATCGGCCGGTCCCCATCCAGACCCCCCGAACACCTTCCCGGCGTCCCTCAAACCACGGCGCCGGTCCCAGATCGGGCGGAGGGACGAGGGACGGACGGATGGCAGCTCAGCCGCCTGCCGCGCCTCGCCCCGTCCAGCCAAGCCCCTGTGCCCAGCCCCTCCGGCAGGGGATGGAAAAGGGGGCACAGCCCTCCGACCCGATCCTACCCACCCCGGCTCCCAGGGCTGTTCTCCTCCCGGTCCCCCGAAGGCAGACGGAGCAGCGCGGAGCGGGACCCGACGAGCGCGGCAGGGCGCGAAGGGAGCTCGCAGCTCGGGGAAAACAAACGTTTTCCCCGTGTCCCCCCGAGGGCAGGGGGGACACGGGGAAAGCCGGCTCGGGGAGCCGGACGAACCGGCCCAGGGACCGGCTGGCGGCTCCTCCGGCCGCTTCACCGCGGGAGCCCCCTCGGGGCCGGCACCGGCCGCCGCGGCGGAGGTTCCCCCGGCCGCTCCGCTCCGCCCCGGGAGCGCACGTGGAACCGGGAGGGATGGAGGTGGGGTGTCCCCGCCACTTACTGTCCTGCTGCGGGGTGTCGCTGCCGCTGGTCAGCCCGGGGGACTCCAACAAGCTCCGGCCGGGCTCTCCGCCTCCTTCGTCCGCCTGGGCGGCCACCATGTCGCCCGCCTCCTCCAGGTCCAGCAGGTGACTCACGGAGAAGTTCTTCTTGGCTTGTAAATTGTCCAGGCCGGCGGGGCCGTCGAGGCGGGCGGGCAGAAGGGCCTGCCTCTCCATGGCGTGGGCATAGCTGGACGCCATGGTGGCGAGCGGGGCTTTTCTGCCCTCGCCC